TATCACATGTACTCACTCATAGGTAGTTTTTAACAATAAAGAAAAGAAAACCAGCCTAAAAACCACAATCCCAAAGAACTTAGACAACAATGAGGACACTAAGAGAGACTTACATAGATCTAATCTACATAGGAAGTAGAAAGTAGAAAAAGACATGATCTCCTGAGTAAATTGGGAGCATGGGGACCTCAGGGGAGGATTGAATGGGGAAGAAGAGAGGCAGGGAGGGGAACAGAGAAAAATGTAGAGATCGATAAATACCAATAAAAAATTCTATCAAGGAAAAAAAAGATCATATCTGTTCCAAGGTAATCTATCCTAGACTCCAAAACACATAATCTATCTTCAACAAAATTAAATACATATATATTTTTTAAAAAATTATTGTATATTAATTATAGAACACTGGGTGTCTTTGTGATATTTGAAATCATGGATTAGTCAGGGTTCTTAAAGACACAGAACTGATAAAATGACTGTACAGTTAGCAGGGAGCTTATTAGGCTGTGTTATAAGATGTGGCCTAAGTACTCCAACAATGACTGTCTCACAACCAGAAGGCTGAGTATCCAGTAGTTATTCAGACCATGAGGCTGATGTCTTTGCAGTCCAAAATATAGCTCTGGAGTCCAGGAGGATTCCTGCAAAGTTGCTTGTCTTTAGTCTATGTGGGAATCCTGATGAAGTTAGATTTAATATTGGCCACAATAATGAGATAGACAAAATTCCCAGCATAAGTGAAGGTAAGTAAACAAAAAAGCAAGTTTTTTTTGTCCTATAATGTAGGCAGCCAACAGAAGGTGTGGCTCAGATTTAGAGTGAATCTTTCTCTTTTAAATTATCTGATTGAGAAAATTTATTTTTCTTGTCTCTTTCTTTCTCCCTTCCTTTCTTCCTTCCTTCCTTCCTTCCTTCCTTCCTTCCTTCCTTCCTTCCTCCCTTCCTTCCTCCCTCTGTCTCTCTTTCTTTTTCTTTTCTTTTTGAGACAGGGTTTTGTAGTAAGGAGTGGCGGGCTGTGTCCTGCCACACAGCTAGCTTTACACCCAAAATAATTACATGGAAACTGTGTTCTTTTAAACACTGCCTGGCCCGTTATCTGTAGCCTCTTATTGGCTAATTCTCATATCGCCGTAACCCATATTTAGTAATATGTGTAGTACCACGAGGTGGTGGCTTACCAGAAAGGATCTTAACCTGCATCCATCTTGGAGAGGAGAGCTATAGCATCTGACCCACTTCCCTTCTTCCCAGCATTCTGTTCTGTCTACTCTACCTATCAGGCTAAGCAGTTTTCTTTATTAATTAACCAACGAAAGCAACAAATAGATAGAAGACCCACCTATATCAGGGTTTCCAAGTAGTTACGAAGCCTGTCCTAGAACTTGCTCTAAGACCAGGAGGATGAGCTGGGCAGTGGTGGCACACGTCTTTAATCCCAGCACTCGGAAGCAGAAGCAGGCGGATCTCTATGAATTCAAGGCCGGTCTTGTCTACAAGAACTAGTTCCAGGACAGGAAACAAAGCTACAGAGAAACCTTGTCTTGAAACAAAACAAAAAAAGACAAGGGTGATCTTGAATTCACAGAGTTCACTGCCCCCTGAGTGTTGGGATTAAAAGTGTGTGCCACAGTCACTTGGTGGAGAAGATTTCAAATTTACCCAGGTATGGTGTCACATGTCTTTGATCCCAACACATGGGAGGCAAAGATAGGTAGATCTCTGTGAACTGGAGGTCATCTTGGTCTATATAGTAAGCTCTAGGACAGCCAGACCTACGAAATAGAAAGCCCTTGTTTCAGAAAGAGAGCAAGTGAGAGAAAGAAAGGGAGTGGGGAAGGGAGAGAGAGAGAGAGAGAGAGAGAGAGAGAGAGAGAGAGAGAGAGAGAGGAGAGAGACTGAAGGAGTACTCAGAAGTTTAGATTTTAGATGAACCAAGATTTGCCACCACAATTCGTTTCTTTCAATTTATTAACAAGTCATCAGTGAAAGTGTTCATGATTAAGCCTGATTGGTCCATAGCAGAGCAACAAAATAGCCATGAGGGCTAAATCAACACTCAGGGTGCATCCAGGTGATTGTGAAAGTTAATTAAAACAGGCTAACTCTTTTTCTTTTCTTTTCTTTCTTTCTTTCTTTTTTTTTTTTTTTTTTTTTTTTTTTTTTTTTTTTTTTTTTTTTTTTTTTTTTTTTTTTTTTTTT